TTTGTTCAAATAGTCAACTCAGGAACCAAAAGATATCATTATACATTTGAATGGAAATGATTTTGAAATTATAACTGAAGATGAATATATGTTAATAATAATTGTTCACTAAATGAGCCTGAAAAGCTAGTATATGAGTATAACAATCATGAGAAATTACATGCATTTGTGTCCAAGGTGATTATCTTATTTTATTAATTTCAATTATTATTAAAATTATAACTTTTATAGCAATAATGTTATAAAGAATACATTTTTTCAATTTGAGTAGAGCTTATATTTTTATTTAAAATAGTATTTTTTGTCTATTCAAATAATAATTTTCATTCAATCTCAACTTTAGCCTGAGAGTAGTGAAGACAGGTTTGAAGAGTATTCTAATCATTTGGATGATATAAGTATTATTCCTGGCACCCCAGAAGATACGTCCTTATTGCTGATCAACAATGATATTCCTGGCACTGCAGAAGATACATTATTGTTGGTTAACAATGAAATTTCTGGCACCCCAGAAGACACTTTATTGTTGACTAACAATGAACAAGATGCTAATCCGGTTATTGGCAGGAAAGCCAGAGTTAGCATAAAAGGTGAGATAGTTCAGTATCGAAATTACATAAAGACAAACAGGAATTCTGGTAACAAATATTGCACTAATAAAGGTAAAATTGTTGAAAGTAGATGTTCAAAAGAACTACCAAACTGTAGACCAAAATGTAATTCAAAAATTGACGATGAATTACGTGAGAAATTATTTGCTACATATTGGTCAATGAAAAACCACAATAGAAGAACTTCATCCTAAAATGATATTTTTCACGACACAAAAGTAAACCGGAAACGTAGATTGACACCGGTAAAACAAAATAACAGGAAAAACAATCATTTCATAACTATGAATTGTTTCTTCCTAATAATAATAAACTCTTAGTTCAGGTTTGCAAGGGCTGCTTTTAAAAAATTTTTGGCGAAACTACTAAATTTCTGTGAAATGTTTGCAATAAAAAATTTAAATCTATTGCTAATTATGTGACACCTGATAAAAGGAGGTACATTTCCCCAGCTTCGAATTTTCATTTTTTTTTTTACCATTCGTTTGTAGCCGGTTTGTATTGGTTTGTAATCAATTTTTTTTCGTTTGTAGAGATTTGGTTTTTTTTTTAAAAAATAAATTTTGGTGGGGGGCTGGGGAAATGCCCTAAATTGTTAGGTCTTGTTGATTATAAAACAAATTTGGATAAAAACCAGCAATTTAATTAACAAGGCTCTTTTTTATCTCGTTTTTAGATTTTTTTTTTATCTAATTCGTTATTTTTTTTGGATTTTTAATCAACAATTCTCATTAGATTTTTATTCTACTTTCAACATTTTTGTATCCAATTTCTTTTGTCCAAATTCAGTTTTTTATTCAACAAGAATTTTATTTGAGCTTCTTGGATAAAAAAAAAATGGAAAGTTGAATAAAAATCTAATTAGAATTGTTGAATAAAAAATATTAAGCGGTTAAAAAGCCATTTTGAATAAAAAATCCGGATAAGATAAAAAAATTCGAAATTGAATATAAAAACGGATTTGAACAAAAAAAACAGTTAAATAAAAACCATAATTTATTAAAAATTCTAAATAAATGTAAATGACAATAATTATTAAAATTGGTTAAATTATTATTTTTTTTATAATTTTTATGTGTCAATTATATTTTTTATTGTTTTAATTATTTGTTTTATTTATTTTAAATATACATTAATTTTTCAGTCAGTTATTGTAATAATTTTTATGGCTCAATTTTTTTCATAGTTTTTAGGTGGGGGGGGGCTGGGGAAATGCCCTAAATTGGAATTTTCATTTTTTTTTTACCATTCGTTTGTAGCCGATTTGTATTGATTTGTAATCAAATTTTTTCGTTTGTAGAGATTTGGTTTTTTTAAAAAAATAAATATTGGCGGGGGGGGGCTGGTGAAATGCCCTAAATTGGATTTTTTATCTATTTTACAATTTATATTCAACAAGGCTTTTAAAAACCATTTTTAATAAAAAAAATCTAATTAAAAGTCTTATTGATTTTAAACAAATTTGGATAAAAAAAAAAACAGCAATTTAATCAACAAGGCTCTTTTATTAAATTTAGATTTTTTAATAAATTATGTTTTTTATCTAACTGTTTTTTTATTCAGAATCCGTCTTTTTATTCAATTTAGATTTTTGTGGGGGCTGTGGATATGCCCTAAACTGGAATTTTTAATTTTCTTTAAAAAGTCAACATCATATTTTGTTGTTTACTAATTAGTTATGTTTTAAAGGCTGTCCAATGTCCATCGATGATTAAATCATTTTGTGAATATAATATTATTATGTAATACAAATAATTGTTTTTTTATTGTACCTAATTATTAGCCACTTTAACAAACAACATACTAACATTCTTTCAATAGCTACTACTTTGGTCTTTTTTAAATGAGGTTTTATCTTTTAATTTATATATACAAGGTGATTCATTAAGCGTAAAACACTCACTATCTCAAAAATTATTAATGTTTTTGAAAATATTTTTTTACATAGTTTCAAGTTGTTAAAAAAACGTTTTCATTAAAAAAAATTTTTTATCCTTATATTTTTTTAAGTTTTTTACTTTTTTGAATGACAGCATAGAGTTTTAATTTCATATTCCAAAGTAGAATATTTTTCTTAGTATTTTGATACATAAAAATCGAACTTAGGACGAGTAGTTTATGAGTTATAAGTATTTTAAGTTTAGATGGGCGGTGTAGTGGATAAACATTTTGCGATATAACCCCATACCACTCCACTCCACCCATCTAAACTTAAAAGTTGTAAATTAAAAAAAACCAAATTAAAACTTAGTATTAAATATTAAGTATTAACTATTTACCATTTACTATTATTTAGTAAATAATATAAATTATTGCTTTTCAGTTTTCAGCCTTTAACAAAGTATGTTACCTTTATTATTTATTTTTAATATTATACTAATAGTTATTATTATATTTTCAAAGGCTGAAAACTGAAAAGCAATAATTTATATTATTTACTAAATAATAGTAAATTAAAGTTAATATAATAATAACTATTAGTATAATATTAAAAATAAATAATAAAGGTAACATACTTTGTTTATTCTTTTCAGTCTTTGAAAATTATATAAAAATTTTATAACTAAATTAACAAATGAAAATTTTAATCAACTTTAACTTATTAATAATTATTTTTTATTTACAACTAAACGATGATTTATTTTGTTACATATTATATCTATAAATCATCGATAGACAGCATTCAAAAAATAATTAATTAGTGACTACCATTACAATGAAAAAATTACATTACAAACCAATACAAAACGGCTAAAAAGAAACAGTAATAAAAAATTGAATGTAAAAAGCTTAGTTAAATAAAAAATCCAAATTGGATGATGTTTATTTTATTTTTTCAACATCAATTTTTTATTCGATTTAGTTTTTTATTCAACAAGACTTTTTATGCAATTTAAATTTTTTCTATAAAATTAAGTTTTTAATAAGGTAGGATTTTTATCCAATTAAGATTTTTTATACAAGAAGGCTTTTTTTTAGAATTAGATTTTTTATTAAGGTTTCTATTTTTTTTTATCAAATTTAGATTTTTATTCAACGAGACTTTTTTATTCAATCTAGATTTTTTAATAAAAATTACAGTTTGTCTCGAATTAATTTCAATAATGAAATCTTATTAATCTAAAAAACTGAAAAATTATCTTAAAAACTATGAATAAAATTGAACTATAAAAATTATTACAATAACTGACTGAAAAATTAATGTATATTTAAAATAAATAATTAAAACAATAAAAAATATAATTGACACATAAAAATTATAAAAAAAATAATAATTTAACCAATTTTAATAATTTTTGTCATTTACATTTATTTAGAATTTTTAATAAATTATGGTTTTTATTTAACTGTTTTTTTTGTTCAAATCCGTTTTTATATTCAATTTCGAATTTTTTTATCTTATCCGGATTTTTTATTCAAAATGGCTTTTTAACCGCTCAATATTTTTTATTCAACAAATCTAATTAGATTTTTATTCAACTTTCCATTTTTTTTTTTATCCAAGAAGCTCAAATAAAATTCTTGTTGAATAAAAAACTGAATTTGGAAAAAAGAAATTGGATACAAAAATGTTGAAAGTAGAATAAAAATCTAATGAGACTTGTTGATTAAATAATCTTAAAAAATAACGAATTAGATAAAAAAAATCTAAAAAAGAGATAAAAAAGAGCCTTGTTAATTAAATTGCTGGTTTTTATCCAAATTTGTTTTATAATCAACAAGACTTTTAATTACATTTTTTTTTTATTAAAAATGGTTTTTAAATGCCTTGTTGAATATAAATTGTAAAATAGATAAAAATTCCAATTTAGGGCATTTCCCCAGCCCCCCACGAAAATTTATTTTTAAAAAAAAAACCAAATAACTACAAACGAAAAAAAATTGATTACAAACCAATACAAACCGGCTACAAACGAATGGTAAAAAAAAAAAATGAAAATTCCAATTTAGGGCATTTCCCCAGCCCCCCCACCATAAGTTATTTTTTAAAAAAAAACCAAATCTCTACAAACGAAAAAAAATTGATTACAAACCAATACAAACCGGCTACAAACGGATGGTAAAAAAAAAAATGAAAATTCGAAATTGGGGGGGCTGGGGAAATGTACCTGATAAAAGGGGTCACACAGAGCCAAAAAATAAAAGAACCCCGAGGACTGTAAAAGATCATATTAAGAAACTCCTGACATATTAAAGTCATTATTGTCGAAAAGTTACCAGTAAAAAGTATCTACCTCCTTATTTTACACTCCAAGCTGTTTACAATGAATACGCAAAAACTGTCCCAACTCCTGTTTGTAGAAGCATTTATGAAAAAAATTTAAACTATTAGGGTCGAAAGTGAAAAAACCAAAAAAAGATACTTGTGCTCAATGTGACAGGATCAAAATGCAAGTATCCAACAGTGGGTGTTCAAGTGAAAAAAGAAACGAATTAAACATTGAAAAAAAAAACCACCAGGATGATGCCGAAGAAGCATATTCTTCAAAAAGAATTGATTCTTCTACATCTACTAACAATAAATGTGTTTTATCAATTGATCTCCAGCAGTGCCTCCCAACTCCACTTTTAGAGTCTTCAGTTGCATTTTACAAGCGCCAGTTATGGACATATAATTTAACTGTTCATAATATAAATACTTCAACAGCATCATGTTTTATATGGAGTGAACCTATTGCAAAGAGGGGAGGGAATGATATTGGTTCTTGTGTTTTTAATTATTTAAAATGTCTCTTAACAGAAATTAACCATGTAGTCATGTATAGTGACTGTGGCTCTGGTCAAAACAAGAACAGTATTATGATGGCAATGGTTCTTTGGTTTATGGAGCATCAAGATATTGTCACTATAATTGATCACAAATTTTTAGTTCGGGGTCACACACGAATGGAGTGTGACTCGGATGATCATGCACGTATTGAAAAAGGTTAGGGATACCCTTTACCTATAAACCACCCTTATGATTGGACTCAAATGATTCGCTGGGTGGGAGTGAGCAAAGCAATTTTTATAATTTTAACAGTTTGTTAAAAACCAAGTACAAAAAAAATTAAAAAAATACAAATGGAGAAAAATTTGTATTCCGTGATGTGAAATGGATGCGTTACGTTAAAGACCAAAAGAATACAGTTCTTTACAAGACATCACTAAAAGATGAAGCTGAATTTTTTTAACTAGATTTGACCCGTAAAAATAGTGATGTAAGTAGCTTACCTTTGGCCTATGACGAAGAACTACAAATTACAGTTGAAAAAAAAATATCTTATATCACTACTACCTCTGATTCCAGATGTGTTCCATGAGTTTTATAAACATTTAAAAACAAAGAAAAATTTAAATGACCCAGTACTATCCGATGATGAGTAACGTTTAAATGGAGTTAACCTTACAGCTATATTTTATTGTTATGGTGTTTCATATTATTATATATTTAAACTGACTGATGTTTATTAATTTTTAATCAGTATACTTAGTCACCAAAAATAGTCTGCAATATTATTAAATATTTGTATTGATTTTTATTATTTCTTTAATCAGTATCTAGTCACCAAAGAAGATGTGCAATATTATTAAAACTTACTTTGTTATCAATATTATTTAAATAATAAAATTATACTTCATTAATAATTGTATGTCTTTATTTTATTTTATTTTTTTTGAGAATATTAATTTATATTAATTAGTATTTTATTTTGAAGTGTATGAAAAAGGACACAAGTCAAAATCTTTTTTTTATTAAATGTGCAATATGGCACAAGTCAGTATATGAGAAAGGTCACAAGTCAATATTGTATGTGCAATTGGTCACAAGTCATTAATAACTGAATAATAATGTAATTTTTATAATGAAAGTAAGTTGAAAAAACGTGAACAACTATAAATAAAACATAAACAAAAAAAAAAAATTTTATTATTTAGAAAATAAAAATTTTGGAATGTTTTATGCATCTCCTGAAAACCAACAAAAAATGACTAGTGCCCCTTCTCATAAAAACCGTCCAAATAATAGTAACCGAACATATAGACGAAACTTAAAAACAATCTATTTACGAGATATGTGAACGATATAATAGTATATTTCATATTTAAGGGGATGTTTTAACTTTTATTAATGCGGGTACGCACTCTATTAGATTAAAACAGGATCAACCACCCATATATCGTAGACCTTACAGGCTACCACACGCACAAGACGAAATAAATTTACAAATCAAACAAATGGAAGAAAACGGAATTATTGAAAGTCAAGGAGACCATGGAACTCCAAATTGCCATTAGTACAAAATAAGATGGATAATTCAGGTAAACTAAAGTTTACAGCACTCAATGAAGTGACCATAAATGAATTTCACCCTTTACCAAATATAACGGAAGTACTAGATCAGCTAGGAAATAGCCAGTTATTCTCTTTACGGGACCTTTCAAGCGGCTTTTATCAGATTAAGATGGAAAAGGATTCACGAGAACTAACAGCCTTTTCAACAAATCAAGGTCAATGGCATTTCAAACGAATGATTCAAGGAATGAAGACAAGTCCCGGAACTTTTCAACGAGTTATGAATTCAGCTCTATCAGGTTTAATAGGAATAAAATGCTTAGTATATTTAGACAATATAATTGTATATGGGAAAAATCTATACGTTCATAATGAAAAATTAATAGACGTCTTTGAACGATTGCTAGTCAACAATTTAAAGTTACAACCAGACAAATGCAATTTCTTGAAGAGAGAATGTGTATATCTAGGTCATGTAATTACAAAAGACGGAATAAAACCAGATAAACGTAAACTAAAAGCAGTAGTAGAATTCCCAGACCCAAAACTGTGAAAAACATAAAATCATATTTAGGATTAAGTGGTTACTACAGGAAGTTCATAAATTCGTATAGCGCGATAGCAAAGCTATTAACTAATCTTTTAAGGGAAGATATACAATTCATATGGAGTAGTGAATGTCAAAATTAGTTCGACACATTAAAGATAGCATTATGTTCAGAACCGGTACTTAAATATCCAGATTTTACAAGGTCATTCTTATTAACTACGGACGCGATCAACAAGGCGCTTGGAACCATTCTATCTCAAGGTGAAATAGTTGAAGATTTGCAAAATTGTTATGCATCACGTACATTAAATAAAAGCGAAAGCAACTATTCAACAACTCAATTATACTCTATTCAGAATAACCTTGCCCACTCGGCCGACGAAAACTCGTCTGGTTCGCGCATGTCTGTTGCCACCGTCAGCGCTCATGTTTGCCGTGCTGCCGCCGCTGACGCGCCGCAGGCGTATACGTAGTGAACAATAATATCACACGTTTTCAGTACCACAAGTGATTCACGCGTTCATTCCGTAACATATAAAAAAACACCGCGCACTCTCTGTAACTTGCTATTTTTTTAATATTTTTTTGTGAATTATTTATTCAACATGGCAAGCATTTCTAGTGATGAAGATGCTCAATATGTCCCATCACCAATTAAAAAGCATAACATGGGAAAAGTGAGTATTATATATAATATAAATAAGTTATCATAATTTTTTTTTAAATTTTAAAAGTATTTAAATAAAATAGTATATGGTTCTTAGTTACAAATAAGTCCTCCAAGACAGCATTTATATTAAGACTTATTTTTTTAAATATTTTTATTTCAGGCTATAAGTGAGGAAGTAAGAATCCGGATTGTGAATATGTACAAAACTATCATAATGAATGAACCTAGCATCTCCGTGAGACTAATTCGAAAACAAATATCGGAAACATTGGGTATTGGCAAACGTTCAATCCAGACAATAATTTCTACATACAAGGAGACAAACACGGTGGCTGCTTCAAAACAGACACGTAAGAAAAAATCTTTCCGCGATCTTTTTGACGAATTTTCAAAAAACGCAGTACGCAGGCACGTGCATAGCATTTGGTTTCGTCGTGAAATTCCGACGGTTTATAAAATCCACCAAGCCGTATCCGCCGACGACAGTTTTCCATCAATATCGCGTACCAATTTATTTCATCTTTTAAAAGATTTAGATTTCCGGTACAATAAACGCAGTAGGAACAGTGAGATGACTGAAAAAAATGAAATTGTTGGGTGGCGCAGATGTTATTTGGAAAACATTATACAATATCGTGAAGAAGGTCGACATATTTATTTCCTCGACGAAACATGGGTGAATGCTGGCGATTGTACATCAAAAACGTGGGTTGACACAACGGTACGATCTCACCGGGACGCATTCCTAAAAGGTCTATCGACCGGTGCTGTTAATCCCTCGGGCAAGGGCAAACGCCTTATTGTACTCCATATTGGCTCAGAAGATGGTTTTCTACCCGGAGGTTTATTGTGTTTCGAATCAAAAAAAAACACACGCGATTACCATGACGAAATGAATGGGGACACATTTCGTGAGTGGATGGAGGGAATTCTACCTCTACTACAACCGAACTCCGTAATTGTTATGGACAATGCGTCCTACCATTCCGTCAAAATCGACAAAGCTCCAACATCCTCTACCCGAAAGGCGGATATTATCAAGTGGTTAGAAGATAAAGGAGAAGTGATAAATCACTCAATGGTCATCCCTCAACTTCTACTCATAGTCAAACGTTTGAAGCCACTGCATAGTAAGTATGTTATTGACGAACTTGTAAAAGCCAATAATCATACAATATTACGACTCCCGCCATACCACTGTGAGCTAAACCCCATTGAGCTGGCTTGGTCATCAGTGAAGAACCACGTCCGGATGAATAATACCACTTACAAGCTTCCAGATGTAAAGAATTTACTAATAGAAGGCATAAAACGAGGCGTAAAATGTGGAAAAATTTTATAAGCCACACAAAAAAAGAGGAAACAAAATTTTATGAAGTCGACAATATCATAGACGAGGTCTTGTCCGCGGAGAAATCAGATGATTTGTTGATGACTATCACTGGAGACACATCATCTGAAACGGATTCAGATACTGAATAAAACTGACCATAAATTTTGTAAATATGAATTTAATTTGTGTAAATAAATGTTTAAAAATGAGTAACTATAGTAAATATGACCATAGTTTTTGTAAATATTAATTTAATTTTTGTAAATAGCTGTTTAGAAATAATGAGTAACTATAGTAAATATGACCATAGTTTTTGTAAATATGAATTTAATTTTTGTAAATAGCTGTTTAGAAATAATGAGTTTTTTAAGAAATATGAGTAATTTTTTTAAATATGAAATTTGTATTTATTTTTTAGTTATAATTTCCTACTACATGTAATAATACCTATTTGTTTTTAATAATAATTGTATACAAGGTAGGCATTGTTTTTGGTGCAGAACAATAAGATAAAAGTACAATAAACAGTTAAGAAATAAAAACTGTAGATTATAATTTATAACATTATAGGTAATAATTATTATGATCGTGTAATTTATTATGATTATCTGTATACACGGCGGCGGCTGTCGATAGCGACGCATGACGGTAGCGGTCGACAACTAACGACCAATCACAGTGCACCTGACTCTCGCCGGGGGGCCTGACGACTGCCGGCGGCTCAGTTGCGTGCGCGAAAGTGGGCAAGGTTATTCTGAATAGAGTATAGAATGTCTTGCAATAATTTTTGGGGTTAAACGTTCAGACCATATCTATACGGCAAGAAATGTATAATACTTAGTGACCATCGCCCATTAACATAGCTTTTTAATTTGAAAAATCCATTATCAAAACTAGCACGATGGAGAATACAATTAGAAGAATATGAATACGAAATACATTACAAGAGGGGCATTTTAAACTCAAATGTAGATTCACTTAAGAGTATGTATACTATTCAGGAAATAAAAGACGAATCATATGACCAATTTCTCGAAAAAATCGAAACATAGCTTATTACAAATAATAATGTAAAAGAAACTATAGGTACACTAATAGAATC